ACCGAACTGCAAACCGGACACCGATCGAATTGTAAGTCGACTTGAACGTCTGAGTGCAAGGCAAAAGTCACATGGCAAAGCAAGCCCACGTGCAAATCCAAGTGCAACGTGTCACAAGTTTTTCCCAACAAATGCATCCACCCCACCCTTCACCGCCATATCACCCGAAGGGTGGTCTATGAGGCATGCTCTCCTGGGTCTGTCCGGGAGTCCCCGGCGGCTGAGAGGTCGCCGGCGACAGATCATCCGAGGGCCAGCCAGCGCCTGGGGTGGCCCACAGGGCCGTACCCACGAGGTACACTAGAGGCCCTGGCAGGCCTCCGTGGGCCCCTGGGGCACCCAGTCTGGGGCTTGGCATCGCTCCGACGTGTGCTTCTTTTCTCGGCGAGGACCATCGGGGAGCATCCTGGATCACCGGGTAGTAAGAATTCACTTTGTTTATATCTATGTTACATATATTACACATAATTGTTTATAAATATTATATATAAACAATGCTTTTATATAAAAAATAAAGAAAAAACGCGAAACCGAAACATGCACGGGAAATGGACGTTCGAGCGACGGCAACGAGGGGAGGGCTTTCATGTCGTCCGCTCTCGTGCCTTCCCCTTTCGATCCGTCCGCTTCCGATCCGTCCTCTCTCGTCCTCTGTCGATCCGTCCTCCTTCGTCCTCCTATCTTCCTCGTTCGACCTCCGGCCTCGCTCGATTCGCCCTTTCCCGTCTCGTCCTCGCCTCGGAGCCCGGGCGTGGCGGAGCCGGACGGGTCGAGGCGGACGGACGAGGCGAGGCCGACGAAGTGACGCGGACGAAGTGAAGTTCGGACGACATGAAGCGCAATCTTGAGGGGCATGGGAGAAGGGAAGGGGATGGGGGAGGGGGAGGGGAGGGGGAGGAGGAGGAGGAGGAGGAGGGGGAGGGGGGAGGGGGAGGAGGAGGGGAAGGGGGAGGGGGAGGGGGGGGGGAGGGGAGGGGAAGAGGGGGGGACGGGTGGGGGGTGGGGCTGGCGAAGCGGCCGTTTCTAGTCCCCGGAGGCCGCCAGCGAGCGGCTCGGAGCGAGGGGCTGGTCCCGGGGAAGGGGGGTCGGGAGCTTACGGCCAGGGCGGCCAGGGGCGTCCAAGAGAGCGCTGGCTCTTTCAGGCGATCGCAAACATGGATGAAGGGGGCGTGGATTAGCGACGGGTCCCGCTTCCATGGGAAATCGCGGATTTCCGCCGCCGAACGGGGCGGCACTGGCTGCATTTTTGGGAGGACCGCGCGCCAAATCCATGGATCGCTAACCCATGTTTGCGCGCCACCGATTCTTTAGACTCTGGAAGTTTACGTGCATGCCCTTCTCTCGAAGAAGAAAATCGCCTTACACATGAACTTTTCGCGCTCAGAGAGGATTTCTTGAATCCGCGCGGACCCCCTTGGCGGCGCCTCCGGCGCCGCCCCTGGAGCGCTCTGCGCGCCAGGAAGGGGGGGACAGTGCAAATCCAAGAAATCCGCGCGGGCCGTCGAAAGTGTATGTTTATGGCGTTTGTTATTATTTTCTATTCTCGCCCCCGGCCCCTCCCTCCGACGCCATTTCAAACAGCGCTGGACCGCAAGAGCGTGCCAGCGAGTCCCGATCAGCGTGAAGTCAAAAAATGTTCGGGCCTCGCCTCGCCCCCCCCCTCCATGCAAGCAGACTTGCCCGAGTCGGAAGAAGAATGCCCTCAGGAGGGGGTTCGAGGACTGGTGGGGTGTGGGCGTATCATGGCCAGAGGGCCATGCTATCTCCCAGATCTCTTGGCGCCCTCTTTTTTGCCTTTCAGCAGGTTCCCGGGCTTGACATCGCTCGGACGTATGTTGCTTTTTTTCTCGGCGAGGAGCATCCTGGATCATCCTGTGAAAAATAAGCGCTCGAAATTGAGGAAAACAAAAAAAACGGGGAACGGACGTCCGAACGATGGCGAGCCGGCCCCCCATCGTCCGCGCCATGATGCGCAGTCCCCCTTTTTCCTGGCCCCCCTCTTCGGAGCACCCGATCAGGGAGCCGGCGGGTCTCGACAGAGTCATGTCGACGGAGGTCTGCGAGCGCGCCGATCATCACGAAGTTTCCGTTCTTCGCCTCGGCCCAGCGTCTGTTCTCGAGCAGTGGCGAAGCACCCAGGCTTGCCTATAGGCCCACCAAAGAATGGTCTAAGGACCGCTTGTGGTTTGCACGAAATGTTCTTAGAACATGTCTGGCTGAGACTGTCTTGTTTCAGTATATTTGGCCGATGCTTCTGTTATTCGAAGATTGCTGCGTTCTAAGAAGCTTTCGTGGTGGGCCTATAGGAATGCCGGGACGGTCGGTCCCTGCTCGAAGGGTCATGTCGACGGAGGTCTGCGAGTGCGCCGATCATCACGAAGTTTCCGCTCTTCGCCTCGGCCCAGCGTCTCTTCCCTCCTCTCTGCACCATGGCCCAGCGTCTCGTCGGCAGCTTCCACGGAGCTGGCCTGATTCCCCGGTCCCTTCCATACGGGTGGGGCTGTGCGGGCCAGGCTGGCCCGACGTTCGCCCAACCTCTGGCGAGAAAGTTGGCACAGGCTTCTTGGGCTCGCCCCTTCATATGGTCAGGAATTTGGGCTTGGCGTGTCGTGCCGCCGGTTCTGGCCCACCGCGCTTCGGCGCGACGTGCTATCCACGTTCCAGTCTCCAAGCGTCAACGTCCCGAGTTTTGTCCCATCCACCCGCCCCGCGGAGCGGAGCGACACGCTATCCGGTTGCACGGCATAGCGTGTCGCCAGGGCCGCCGCGGCGACAAACTAAGCAAAAGATCCCGACCGTAATCACCGCTCAAACGATCCTTCCCGATACACCATTGCACCCATTCTCGCCAAGCTCAGGCATGCTGCTGCCAGGATCTAGTCAGGACAAGCTCGGACATCGTTGGCAGAAGCTTCACATCAGTTTGGATGTTTGGTTGAGTCCAAGAATGTATGCGTTCACGTCGAGGTGGGCGCTTCATTACGTGTCGCTGTTGTTTCCTGCCATGGTCTTCTGCTTTGCCCCGTCGCAGGGGCAACACGAGAATCGCTGACGGCATTGGCCTGACGGATGAGCTGTCCCTCAGCCAGTTGAGCCGGCAGGCGACGTGTTGCAGTGTTGATGTTCACAGTGCCCGCGTATCTTCCGATATTCTTTCCATCATCGTTGTTTTAGCCATTCTCGTTTGAAGAGTGTCCTTTGGCCCTCCCTGCCCCTCACGAACAGCATGAGCTCACGTGAACCTCCTCCGTCTGGTCATTTTCCCTTTTCACTCTCATGTTCATCAGTTTCTTCCTGCTCCTCCTCCTCCTCCTCCTCCTCCTCCTCCTCCTCCTACTCCACCTCACCCTCCTCCACCGCATCCTCCTCTTTGCCCACATCAGCCACACACACGCTTCAAAGAGCTGACGTGCGAGCAAACGATGCGGAGTGTGGAACCTAGAAGGAGCGCGGACAGATGCCAGGGAATCTGCCGAGGCTGGTAGAACAGATATGTTGCGGCTCGCCCGAAACACTGAATTCTACAGCCTATTGTAAGGGCCAGATTGCACGCGGGGCCAACCTTGCGGCAGCATGAAGCCAGAAAATGATGACAGGGAAGTTTGCCACGGAAGGCCGAGGGAGGAGACGAGAACATCTTGCAGTCGTACCGATTTCCGATAAAACCATGTCTACCAAGTGTTTGCGAGAAGATGCATGAATTTGTTGGCGGGCTGGAGGGGGGCGGGCAGGTGCAGTGAGGGAGGCAGAACTGACTGCGGAGGTAAAGCGGATGGAGAAAACGTGGAAGCCGAGATGTGAGTGTGCCAGGGAAAACGGGGACCTATTTAGTAACGGCTCAAGGAAGGCTGAGATGGATGCATTATCTTGCAGCAAATTTACTCATCACTACCATCACCAGCATCACCGTCGTCACCACCCACCACCACCACCACCATCTCCATCTCCATCTCCATCATCATCATCATAATCATCATCATCATCATCATCATCATCATCATCAGCATCGTCATTATCGTCATCATCATCATCATCACTAGCATCATCAGCAGCAGCAGCATCAGCAGCATCAGCATCGTCACCATCATTACCATCATCAGCATCATCATCAGCATCGTCACCATCATCATCCGTATCATCATCATCACCATCAGCAGCAGCAGCATCGTCATCATCGTCATCATCGTCATAATCATCGCCATCGTCAGTGTCGTCGTCGTTGTCGCCGTCCTCGCCATCGTCATCGTCATCGTCATCACCATGACCACCATCATCCCCATCACCATCATCATCACTGCCAACACCACCATCATCATCGGCATCAGTATCATCATCACCATCAGCAGCAGCATCATCAGCATCACCATCGTCGTCGCCATCGTCATCGTCATCGTTATCATCATCATCATCGTCATCATCATCATCACTATCGTCACCACCACCATCATCATTCTCGTCATGGCAATCGCCCTTATCAACAACAACAGCATCAGCATCAGCATCATCATCCTCATCCTCATCATTATCATCATCAACAGCAGCATCATCCTCATCATCATCATCATCGTCATCTTCCCCTTCCCCTCCTCACCCTGCCCCTCGTCCGTTGTGACGAGCTCCCCGCGAGAAGACGAGTTTCTCCCCGTCCTCGGGTGCAGGGCTTCCAGGGAGGTCCGTGTCCTAGAGAAGCGGACGACCCCCTCCGTGGTGACCCCTCTTGGCATTACTTGGGATGATGTGGTCAACCTTTGTTTAGGTGGCGCGCCGGCGTCGGCCATATCTCGTTCCTCTGTATTGCCCCCCCGACGCCGATCAGACACCCGAAGAAAGGGGGTAGGAGGAGGGGGGCAGGCATCATAGAAGCACCCCTGTTTCTTGGAAGGTGTGGGCCTCATCTGTAGATGTAGGGCCAGCGCCTTCTAAGAAGCTTTCCCCCATCCCTCCACCCCTTTGCGCGCCCACCCGACGTCGAGCAGCTGCGCCCGTGCGCACATCCACTCAGGCTCCAGCGGGTGGGGAGGCTCGCCGGCCGCAGCTAGGAGGTGAAAATCCGATGGGCTGCTGTCTGGCCGCAAGCTCGGGCCGGGGGGCCATCGCTCCCGGGAGCAGCGAGGGACAGGAGGAGATATCCAGTTGCCTACGGCAAGCCCCGCCTGCGCAGCAGCACAGCAGCGCAGCAGGAAGGAGGCCGGGTTCAAGATCGAGTTCAGCGTACTGGCTGAATTGTCACGGGGCTGAGGCGTGTCCGCAGCCTCGCTCTCTTCCCCTCTCCCTTCCTGTTGAAGGCTTCTTTCAGGACCTTTGTGGGACTTTTTGGGGACCACTAGGGCGTTTCTTCGGGGCTCATCAGACGCCTCGGAGCCGTCTTTCGACATGGACGAACCAGGTACGGAAAGACCGGGGGCAAAGACCGGCAGTAGTTCTTGTTCGCTTTGATCAGGACTCGTTGTCGATGTCGCCGCGGACGTAGTCCAGCTGAAGCAAAAGTTCGCCTGCCCAACAGCGGCCGCTGTCGGTCTTGGACGATATGTACTGTCGGGCGTTGTCAGAGTGAGCGGGCAGAACGGTCATTGATTGTCCTTGAGTGCGTGGCTGAAACAAAGTTCCGCGGCGCGGATTCTGCTTGCATCGAGTTCTCATTCCTGCCAGATCTCAAAGATAATTTCTGTTGATCCCCCCCTGGTGCCCACTGTGTTTTGTTAAATTCAAGTGTCCCCACCAGGGCTCGCACCGTGTTTTTTATGAAGAAGTATTTAGGGCCTCAGACTGCGCCCCTGGCCCCCAGGTTACAACAAGAACGGCTCCCTCTTTGTACTTCCTGACAAAGTATTCCCTAATCGCGTTCTATTTATTATGACGCCGCGCCCTCGACACTCAGGAGTCACGCTCTCGCCCTAGCCTTTCTCACGATTTGCTTGGGAATCGCTCGCTCGAGCCTTTCTAGCGATTATCGCAGGACTCACCGTCTGGCTCTGCCGCTTGCACTCCAACTCAGGACTCAGGATCCCCCTCCTGCTAATCTCTGTCGTGCTCCATCATTCTACCTCCGCTGTGTCCCTTCTTTCCATCCTTTCGGCATCGAGGATCTAGGATATACGTGTTGAGTGGCACGCGAGCAGACAAGAGCGAACAGTATTCAAATGATTGTCGTTGCTGGTGTCGTCACATCCGCGACTCGCCCCGCCACCCACCCGCGACCCACCCTCGACCCACCTCCTCCTCCTCCTCCTCATCATCATCATCATCACCATCATCATCATCATCATCATCATCATCATCATCATCATCATCATCATCATCATCCTTCTCCTCCTCCTCCTTCTCCTCTCATCCTCATCCTCATCCTCATCCCCCTCCTCCCTCCTCCTCCTCCTTTTCCAGGATTCCCGAGGTGTTGTGCCGCCGCCGGTTGCTTTGACGAAAAAGTCAGCGCCTGCGGCGAGTCTGTTGTGTAATGTGTAAAAGACTGGCGCCTGCGGCCAGCTTCTTCAGAGCCTCGCAGACTGCCGACGATCCCGCCGCCACCATCACTCTTGTCCGCAATTGCGGGTGCTACGAACCACTTGTTTCTGCGTGCCTGTTTCGGGCGTGCCAAGTCTCTGGTAGCGATGGCTCTGCCGAGCCCTCCGGAGCAGGATCGGTATAGGGGGTTGTTGGGGGCGGTCTTGGGCAGCCCTCGGAGACCAATGTTGGGGCGGTCTTGTGCCGTCCTGTGGGGGTCGGCAAAACAAAAAACATGTTGGAGCTCCG